CCAAAGCAGTTTGCATTTGTGAATTTCAAACATGAAGTATCTGTTCCTTATGCTATGAATCTTCTTAATGGAATCAAACTTTTTGGAAGGCCCATCAAAATTCAATTTAGATCAGGTAAACTGTTTAATGATGTTAGGGGAAGAAGGGTTGTTTGCTGCTGTGGGTGTGTGTGTGTGTGTGTGTGTGTGTGTGTGTATTTTAAAGTGTATTAAAATTTAAAGAACCTCTGTTCTGGGTGAAAATGCTTTTGTAAGCTTTATGAGTAGAATACTTTTCCCTGACAATGGGTAACATTAACACATGGATTTTGAAAGTCAAAATTTTAAAATGAGTTTAAAATTTCATTTGGATTAAGGAAAAGAACATATAAGATTTATTATTAGAGTTGAGTTTGGACCCATTCTCTTATGTGAAGCAAAGATTATCTCCTGATCCAGGCTGTTTTGAAATTTACATTTTCCAATTTTGATCTTAATCTTGTGTGGATGGAACTTCCTATGTGTTAAATTTGGTGCAGGGGTGGAGGGAGGTTTAGAAATATTATGGCCAGATTGGATATTGATGGGTTTTTTTAGAATTTTTAAACAATCTTTTTTTAGTTGTTGATGGACATTTATTTATTTATTTATTTATTTATTTGTTTGTTTGTTTGTTTGTTTATTTATTTATTTATTTATTTATGGTGCTGAGAATCGAACCCAGTGCCTCAACGTGGGAGGCAAGCGCTCTGCCACTGAGCCACAACCCCAGCCCCAGACAGGACATTTATACATAAAATAGTACCTTGTTTGGAATGCGATGTGTTGCTTATCTGATAACATACATTTGTAATTTTTATTCTGATAAAATTGTAAACCAGTCTGCAATTGATATTTTTCTCTTTTTAAACTGTGTTTACATCTTTGGGGTGGTTTGTGGTGGAGACAAAATTTCACATTTAAGTTTTCTACTACTTATAATTTTTTAAATTATTTTATTTTAGGAAGTAGTCATGCCTCACAGGATGTCAGTTTGTCATATTCCCAGCATCATGTTGGAAATTCAAGTCCTACTTCTACATCTCCTAGCAGGTAATATTTCTCGTTTATTGTTAAAGTAATTTCTCAGGTAATGAGTGAATAACTCCTTCGTCGTGCTCCTCTTTAGTTGCCATGTTGGATTATTGTCATTATATCTGCCAATTTTAAGTGGACTGTAGGCAGACACATTATATATAATCTTAAAAATTCATATTGTTTTGTGAAGACATACCCATACCCACGCATACTTGTGTACAATTGAAACAAAATTTCTCAAAATGTTACTTACCTTACTTTTGCCATTCACTCTGTACTCCATTTTATTTCATCTTTTAAATTTTCAAATTAATTTTATGACCACTATTGGTTATAGTTTTAAAATACTGATTTAGTGGACTGCATACGAGACTGAGTTCATAGAACTGGGAGTCTAGGTCTGCCTCTACCCATATTGATTAATGAACAGACTACTGAACTAAGAATTCATAAAATTGGAGTCCAGGTCTTCTTCTGCTGATTACACAATTTTGACCTACTCATTTCTCTGGTCCTATCCTTTTTAAGGAAAAGCAGTTGAATTTATGATCTCTAAAATCTTGGTAGTTACTGTTGTTTAGAAAAGGGACCATATTTACTTAAATACATTTATTTTGTTTGCTTGGGGGGACGCTATTTTATGCAGGTAATTTTTTATTCCATAGAGCTGTTACTTAGTCATAATGGGCTTCATTCAAGAAAAATTTAACAAATACCATGCTGTGTGT